ACTCACCATTCCTTATGAATCACTCTACCCTTTTCCATCAAGTTCCATTTGAAAGTGAAATCTATTAGATATTTTTAATGAACTTTGGCAAATGATTTCAGGATGCATGGTCTTTTGTTGACATCCTCAAAAGAAGAAATAGTTGTTCACGGTTCACCTGACATGGGTCCTACTTCTCAGAATCATCAGGGGAATGCTCAGTGGGAGACTCTTGAGCTTTATCTTGTTCGTATCTTTTGCACTTCTTTCATTTTTACCCCTCAGTTTTCAAAATGATTTCTTTTCCTATTTTGTAATAAAGACGCTGAAGTAAAGAACATTGTCATCACATTCTTTTCTTTCTTTCCTTCTTAATCAAATAAAGACAATGAACTAACCAGGCATGTTCATGTTGAATTCTCATGGTGCATGCTATTAGTGAAAAAAAATATTTTTTTCCCTCTTTCCCTCTGGCTTCTGTGTGTGCTTGTAAAAAAAATGTTTCAGCTTTAAGAAAAAAATGCGTCAGTGTTCTGAACAGCTTGTAAAGGATTACACGTCATCACATGGTCATAGACTTGGAGATTTTCTCTTGCAATTAATCTCTGAGCTCACATTTCATCATTACCTTGAGAAAGGTCCAAGGATGTTTTCTCTATTTCCTTGTCTGATCTTGTTTTGAAGGATTACTCTCTCTTTACTGCAGGAAAAATATAGAACTTTTCATACTGGATTACCAGCAACTGTTGCGGAAACACTTCTCCACACAGATCCTCTGATTGAATTGCCTCTGTGGCTGGTACATATGTTCAAGGTAATCTTATTGATTTCCTTTTGGATAAACAAAAGCCTTTTCACTCTCGTACTTTAGTTGTCAATTGTCATTCAAATATTTACCGTTTTGTTGGAAAAGCTGTCCGTCATATTACTCGGTTCTCAGTTGTTATGCTTGATTCAAGGACTCTTAAATTACACTTTCAACCCAGCTTTTATGGTTTTCCTCAAGAGGATCTAGAAAGAGACGTTTACTTTACCATCACTGTGAATAATTGTCCTGTTGGGAACCATGTACTAAGTTAACCTTACCTAAACTTGCTTGTTTCAAAGCACTGTTGTATGTTTCACCCTATTTCATTTGACCTATTGTATTTACCTATGTGGACGGATGTTTGATTTGCTACAATTTAGCCTCCTGTTGTTTCCTCATAATTTCATTGTTGTACATGAAAGTCATGTTGAGTCACCATAATCAAATCTATGTTGTTGTATTCTCTTGGTTTGACAGGAGAGTAGAAGGGACAGGACCTGGGGGATGGCTGGCCAAGTATCAAATCCTGCATCTTTGTTCAGGCTATATGTTGATTATGGTCGATTTACAGAAGCTACAAATCTGTTGCTTGAGTATACCGAATCATTTGCATCAGTGGTAAGTCGCACCCACTTCAAGTACATGTACACTAGTTCTGCTACTCTGCTTGTTCAAGGTTATTTTATTTTCAGCATCACATGATATTTCCTTTACACTTGTGGTCAACTGATAAAAGGTGTAAAGTGGGGTATGGTCCTTGGTTTGGTTATTAGCAAGAATCTTGACTCCTGCATGACTACATACATTATGAATATGTAAGGCAATAGGAACTAGGGTTTAGCAAATGGTTTGTTCAGTTCGGTTTTTGGTATTTATGAAAAACTGAATTGTGTGAAGTGTGAACCCAAATATTTTGGTTTGGATTCAGTTTTTGGTTTTCAATTATTTTCAAATAAAATTTCATCGTTTAAAATTTGATACTTTCTCATTATTTTTTAAAATAAAAAATAAAAGTAAAAAAGGAAAAAAAAAAAGAATTTGGTTTTTTGGTTCTTAAACTGAATTGAAATGAAAACCCCATTACAGAACCAAACAATTTGGTTTGGTTTTTCAGCTCAAACTGAACAGTGCACACCCCTAATAGGAACTGTAACTTTTATTAAAATGTCCCAAACTGAACCTTAGATGGCAGCTGCTCAAACTAACCTCGTTCCTGTATTTAATCAATGTTGGATATTCCAGGAGACATCAACATTTCTGAAGTTAAATTTGTTTCTTTTATATGTTATAGTGGCTGACTTGTTTATGTATCAATTCATCATTGTGATAGGCTTTGCAGGCAATGGTGGACCATGATCATCTATAACTGACCCAATAACATGATTGATGTGTATTGTTTCTCATGGTTCTATCCTCTGAGCTGCCCTAATGGTGGGCATGACCTCTAAGTGTCTGCATGGGAGGGAGTTGGCTGAAACAACTTTCCCCAGATGTTTGAAAGCATCACTATTGTTTAGCTGCCATCTGTTTTTTTCCTTCTTTCTAGACCAGGCAACAAGTTCATTGTTAAAACTGTCAATTGATGGTTATCTGCTGGCTGATTTCACTTAAGATGCTAATTTTATCAACCTTGTGCAGAGACCGTCAGACTTGATTAATCGGAAAAAGCCATTTGCAGCATGGTTCCCATACACAACGATAGAGCGCCTATGGTGCCAGCTTGAGGAATTGAGTAATTTGGGTCACATGGTTGATCACTATGGGAAGCTCAAAAGTCTATTGCATGGAGCTTTGCAGAACCACCTCAAGCAGGTAACCAATATTTCTTTCTTTCTGTCTTCCTCTATTTTCATTTTTTTTTTAATAAATGATTTACTTATTAGAAAAGGTCAAGGTAGCCTTAACGTCTGACATGGTTCCAAACAAGGAGGAACCTGGCAAATAAAACCTAATACAGATAGAGAAGTACCGATAACAGAGCACTGCCTCCTATAAAAGCAACATATGAATCTTTTGATCATTGACCAACTGAAGAAAGAGAACTCACATTTAGCAGATTTTTTTTTATTAAGATTCTGTAACCGACAGTTTTGCATGAACTGAATGGGTTTTCAATCATTTATGTTGTGTCTAGGTGAAGGTGGACTCTGAAGATGCATTATCCGCTGCTGCCTGCTAAGAAAGTTTTTCGCAACGGTTGAATTTAATGGTGTATAGAGCATGAGAAACATCAGGATCTTTGAACAGATTATGAGCTGCATTTAACACTAGACAAGGATCAATTTGCTTTCAGCATACAATAGTTCCGACTTCTGCCAAGAAGTGTGGTGCTACGGCTCTGAAAGTTGAATTTTGTATGTATGCACGTAGTTGGGTTCTGATCGAATTGTTAATTGAAAGGGAAAGAAAACAAACTTCCCATTTGCATCGTTAGTATCATGGCATGTAGACGCTAGGGTCAAAACCAAAATTTTGAGACGGATATATGTAGTTATCGGTGCTTTCATTTTGCTTACCCACTGGCTGGATTGAGCACGGGGAAGAGATGAATGCTTGTACCTTCATGTATATACCATGTGGCTGGCCGGTTCTTTACGCCGTTGAGAGGGGATTCAGCTTGTCAGAGGCTTCACTCTGAGGTTCTGGGAAATTATTATATTTTCTAACATGTTGAATGCTGCAACTTCGATTTTGCCGATATGTTCAGTACAATAGAATTCAATGAGGTCTTTAATTCCATGTTAATTCGGGTTGGTTGCATGATTTTCTTATAAGGGTGTTTTGGATGTCTTTTAAGGTGATTTTTTGTTTAAAAATATATTAAAATAAGGTTTTTATTTATTTATTTATTTTCAATATTAAAATATCAAAATAATTTTAAAATATCAAATTAATTAATTTAAAGTAAAAAGGAAAAAAGAATTAATTAATTTTTTTTTTGAAAAGTGATGGCTAATTGTAGCGCCAAACAACCTATAACAAAGGGAGAAATTAATGTTTTAGGCGTCTTGAAAGTGATGTTTCATCTAGGTGCATGCCTTGTGATTTTGTTCACGTCTAGAGACTCACTTATTTTAATTCTATCTCCATGGGTTGATTAAGATGGGCTTAATAAATGCCTGTGTCCTTTTGACTTTGCAATTTAATTGTATTTTAAAGATTTTTTAGTTTTAAATTATTTTTTTAATATTTGTTATTAATTTGATTTAATGATGTTAAAGGTAAATTTTAAATAATAAAAATATTATTTTAATATATTTTCAAGTAAAAAATATTTCAAAAAATATTTTTTTTGAAATTAATTTTAAGTTTTCATTTGTTATTAATTTGATTTATTGATGTTAAAGGTAAATTTTAAATAATAAAAATATTATTTTAATATATTTTCAAGTAAAAAATATTTCAAAAAATATTTTTTTTGAAATTAATTTTAAGTTTTCAAATTAATTTTTTTTTTAACGCAAACAAGAAAAAGGAGTATTATTTGGCGTTAATTTTAAGTTTTGAAATTAATTTTTTTTTAAAGCAAACAAGAAAAAGGAGTATTATTTGGCGTTTGTTATTAATTTGATTTATTGATGTTAAAGGTAAATTTTAAATAATAAAAATATTATTTTAATATATTTTCAAGTAAAAAATATTTTTTAAAATTAATTTTAAGTTTTGAAATTAATTTTTTTTTAAAGCAAACAAGAAAAAGGAGTATTATTTGGCGTGAATGGGAAGCCCACACGTAGACGCAAAAACTTAAGAAGTAATTATTGCAAGATTGGAGAGGGTAAGGTTACTGTGGTCTGCTCCTATCTAGCTATTGTTTATAATTTTTATTTTTTTGGATTTGGAAACAAGGGTGCAATAAATAAATAACGATGTAACGATTTGAATACACGTGATGATAGGCGTACATGAATAATTATTTAATTCTGATATCCAAAAGATTAAGCTAATATGGAAAGAAGAAATAATCAAAGAGATAGAGAGAGGGCAGGGAAGACTTGAGATGGCAGTCAATTTTTTTTTAAAAAACAGATGATATTGGGCTGGCCCCTCGGCCCTCCCTATGTGGAGGAATATGAAGGATTGGATTGGTATATCCATAATTCCATGATCTATAAATATTAAAAATTAAAAATTAATTAAAACAATTAATATATTTTTTTTAAACCACGAAAACAAACACGTCAAAAGCAAGCTTCTTCAAAGTTGGGATTGATGGTCCAAGAACGAGCTATGTGCAGTATAATTAATTTGACCTTTGAAATAATATGCAAATTTAATACTGGTGGATGGCTGCTGACTAACACCATCGTTTAAGACTTTGAATTTTGATTTCTCTTTGCCCCAATATCTGAAAGGAAACAGAAGCCGAAAAAGAAAAGGGGGCAAAGGGAAAGTTAAATAAAATCCTCTGTTTTGTTCCTTCCCGAATCTTATCGACTGAAGCAAGCAAGCAAGGCTCTCTTTCAACGACAACCAACCCAGTCTACGAGGTTGTCGCCGACTTCTCCGACCGGCGGCTCTGATTACTCCGATTAAATTCCCATCAAGGGTAAACTACTGGCTTTTCTTCATGCTTCAAAAAACAAGAATAATTCATACTTGGAAGTTATTTTAGTTGTTGCTTTGTTATTGTTACTATTGATAGCAGCAGATTAGGAAATTTTATTTACTTGGAAGAGCAGAAGAAGATATATATTTTCACTACAGTTTATTTATCTCTACCTTTTCTTTCTCTTTTTGGCTGAGCAATCCCATCAAGAAATTCATAAATCTAGATCAGTCTAATCCATTTAACTTACTCCTTGAATTTGATTTTCTCAAGAGCCAAATTAAATCAAGCTTCCTGCTCTTTTTTTTTTTTTAGTTAATTTGCGAAATTTCTATCAGCATTTATTTGTGACAAGTATGGATAGAGTGCATGCTTCCTGATGTCTATGCGAGCTCATAAACAAGTCTCCACTTTTTTTGTAGAGCCAAATCATGTTCTGTTTTTGGGTTTTATTTTCTTTGATCTTGACGGGTTTCTTTTTTTCTTGTTTAATTATGAATGAAGATGGCACAGGCTGCGGAGGAGTCGGGAAACGGCAGCGGGAAGTTGGAGCATCATGGTAGGGAAGACAGTGAATATGTTAGGCTTGTTATATCCGACGAACCAAGGGCACCTGAATTCGATATTTCACAACTGCAATCGGGAGCTAGGATTAAAGCTTTCATCTGGTGGATCAAAGCTTCAATTTGGTGTCTTGTTATCACCATACTTCTTCTCGTTTTCGTGAAATGGGGTGTTCCATTTCTTTTTGAGAAGGTGCTTTATTTCTCTCTTTTCGTTTTATTTGTATCTTTTGCCTGCTTTGGTGCTGTCTATAGCTTTAATCAACAAGTATTGCACATGCCGTTTTGTTACATGTCCAGCATTCATTTGCGCTTTACATATTTGAGTTTGTACTTTGAACTTTCTTCTGTTAGTGGGCTTGGTTTATAATTTGTTCGAGATGGTTCTTTGGCATCAATTTGGATTATGAATACAGCATAATGGTTGGCAAGCTTTATCAAGTTTGCTAACTTCAGGTTTAAGAATCAACTTGGTTTTTAAGTTTGGTTATGCCAAAGATTAATCAATTTCATTGTAGGTTCTCTTGCCAATGATGGAATGGGAAGCAACTGCCTTTGGACGTCCAGTCCTCGCCCTTGTGCTTACTGCCTCTCTTGCCTTGTTCCCAGTGTTCCTAATTCCTTCAGGTCCTTCCATGTGGTTGGCTGGAATGATCTTTGGATATGGTATTGGGTTTGTGATAATCATGGTTGGAACCACTATCGGGATGGTCCTGCCCTATTTGATTGGGCTAGTTTTCCGTGAACGCATCCATGTAAGACAAATGATTTTAACTGATATAAGCTAGACAACTTGGTTTTCATATTGGATCTTACTTTTCTTTCTTCTGCCTCTCCATTTTTGTGAATTATCTCCTGTTGAATGTGCAGCAATGGTTGAAGAGATGGCCTCAGAAAGCTTCTATGATTAGACTTGCTGGGGAGGGGAGCTGGTTCCATCAATTTAAAGTGGTTGCCCTCTTTAGGGTTTCACCATTTCCGTACACAATTTTCAACTATGCAATAGTGGTAACAAGTATGACATTTTGGCCCTACTTGTGTGGTTCAGTTGCTGGAATGGTTCCAGAAGCTTTTATCTACATCTACAGGTCCGTTCTCTTGGTTATACTTTTTTTTTTTTTCCACTATCAGTTCTTATTCCAAAGAAACATACAAGGAAACAAAGATACGTGGGAATTCTTTTGAACTGTTTGTCCAGATGATGACCAAAAAGAATGAAAGCAAAATCAGTTGTTGCAAAACTCTATTGATCCCAGCTCACCAGAAAGTACTACATTCTTAGTTCTTCTATTTGAAGAAAACTCTGTCAAAATAATGATATGCCAATTTGTTTTCCCTCCCCCCTGCTCAACCTCATGCTTGTGCTTCTGTGCAGTGGTAGGTTGATAAGGACATTTGCTGATGTGAAGTATGGGAACTATCACTTGACTACTGTGGAAATAATATACAACATCATCTCCTTCATTATTGCTGTTGTCACTACGGTTGCTTTCACTGTTTATGCAAAAAGAGCTCTGAAGGACCTTGAAAGGGAAGAGGCTACTGAAGAAGTTCCCCCCACCCACCAAGAAAGTCATGAGATGGGAAAGCTTCCACTTGAAAGACCTAAGCATGCAGGTTTGTCATCTTTTTCATTATAGCCTGAATACTTGGGAGGAAAATACATGTACCTGTAAAAATTGATATGTTAGATGGCATTTGTTGACTGACTGATCATTATAACTTCCTTATTCACCCCTTTGTTAAGGGGGTTTTGGTGTTTATGTTTGTAACTACAAAAATAGAATACAGAACAAAAATTAATCGACCAGCTTTTGTGAAAGGTGCAACTTCTTAGCGTATTTTTCCTTGTTTGTTTTATTTTCTTACCATTCAGTAAACTTTTTTCTTATTATTTTTTTAGCATCTTCTGAACGATATATATAGTATGTTCTTAAAATGTACAAGGAGACACACCATCTTGTGGGTATGGAATGAGGGAATAATTAGCTTCTATTATTCAAATTATTGAGAATAAGAGTTTTTGACCTTATAATCTCATTCACTGATGATGTTTGACCTTCGTCATGCATTGATGCGTACCTGCAAAAGTGATAAGAAAGCTTGCCATTCGGTGGCATGAGAGATTGGATTCAGTTTTTAACTGGCACATTTATGTGATAATGGAAAGAATAACAATGATCGTGGTGAGAACAACAGGCATGCTGTACTGTATCTTACAAGAAAGAAGCGATAAAATTATCTGCATTTGATTGAGGCTTTGATGTTCTTTTTTACCACAAGGGCATTCGGTTCAATAGGTGGTGGAGGGATTTTTCGTGGGATGAAAAGAATAGCAATGACTGGCAAATTAAATAAAGCAAGGTGAAAAACATTCACAGAATATTAAGTTATGAGCAATGGTTTGGCTAAATGTTGAATCTGCGGAAATTTAAGGCTTGAGATGTAAGTGGATGTTCCCTTTTGCCTTTTTGCCGAAGAACCAAATTTCAAGATACAGGCGCTTGGGTCACAGAAGAAAGCTCTGTGCCTCCAATAATAACCATTTCTTGTGCCGCGCTATGAGATGATTCTGTGGCTAGTTTATCCATACGTGCTCCGTGGTTCTCGCTTGGGTCCCTCTTGCCCTTTGCTCCGCCTGCCCAGATTTCTATTGCCGCTTCCATATCCTCACCAAACATCCCTTTCCTGAACCTGGTGCCCATCTTCACTCAGATACCATCGACAAAAGGTTAGAAAATGAGTTTCTGAAACATGTCAATAATAAAGGAGCTCATGTAAAGTAAATCTTGGGTGTATAAGTTCACCGACCTGTGAGACTAGAGCGTACAAAGGCAAGGTGCTGTAACTGCATAGAACTTGAACAACTAAACTGCACCCACCAAATAAAGCAATAAGAAGGCTTGTTTTCTTCGATACTTGGGTAAGAAACAGAAAAACAGAATCATAATATATCTGTAATGGATCATAAGGTTTTGGAATTACCCCATAATAAGCCTTGGCACAATGTAGCCCACTCTTTCCATGATGCATGAGCGGAATCCGTATGTGCTCTGGAAGGGGAGGAAACTAATTAACCAAAACTGCAAACGCACTTGTATTGCTATGTATGCATTGAAAACTATGGAAAACCATGTGATAAACTTTGGAAACTATTTGCTAAGAACATGTGTACCCAAATCCAGAAGAAGAAAGCAATCTCAAATGAATTCTGAAACAGAATGAACTGAATCAAGTCAAGAACAATGGCAGGTTTCTCAAGCCAGAAATGTTCATCTGAAGGCTTTACTCGTGCTTCGTCGACAGGAACTGGCATCTCTGCAACTCTGTGGCCTAAACTAGTGATAATGTGTTCTAACTTGGCGCCAACGAGTAGCAGAAGCTGCCATTCAAACCAGCTCGATGTTATTAGGCTTGCATCAAATGTCATTCATCAAAACATGTCAACTAAACCCTTCAAATCTGTGTATGCACACACATATACATTAGCTCAGTTATACTTACAATTACTGGTAAAAAGGACAGCCAAAAAAATGTATGCCACCCTGCATTTTCATTCACGCATGGGAAAGGATTAATAATGATACCATTTTTTTATGAATCACTGGAATTTAATTGCTCAACTTCGAGAAAGGAAAATTACCTTCCACATTCATCAGCAAAAACATCACAATAAAGAGCCATAGATACCAGCTGTTGTCCAATATTATTTGGTATTGTTCAACTTCAAACCTTTGAATACTGAAATACAACTCAATAAATAAATAAATAAACAAACCATTATTCTAAAAGACTTACCTTATGGTAACAATTCTTTTGAAATCAATCTGCAGTGTCCGCATCATGTAATCGTGAAAATCAAAATTCAACACACGGGGACAATGCGCCTGGATTGGAAAAATCAATGATCAATAAATTAATAGAACGCATGTTGCAGAATTATATAGTGAACAGATATGCGGTTAATGATTGAAACTTAACTGTGATAAATCCCTTTCGAAGAGCAACGTAGTCTGATTTGGTAATAGAGCCATAAAATTGTTTGCAGAATGCTATCTGAAAGGGAGCAGAGAAAACTGCTGAATTCTATATCATACTCTTGTATAAAATTTTCAACTGTAGATTATAAGAGGCAACATAGGCTGGCTTGAAACTCACCAGCCAACTTAAAACAGCTGACTTTCTCCAATATCCTTTTTCGTGTCTTTTAATGAACTTGTGAAAAAAATGGTGTTCATGTTCATGCTTTGCTGGATCTGCACAACAGAAAGCATACATTTAACAAACTACAGAAGTTCTATTGTTTCTGTGCAGAAGAAAGGAACATTTAGATTCAAGCCAACCTCTGAATGCTTTTGATGGATGTCTTATGGAATCCTCCCAAGTCTTCCATTGTCGTATCTATGGAAGGTGGAATTAATACATATCACAATAATTCGAAATGTAAAGAAACTAATGGACATAAAGTAGATATGCAGGAAAGGGGGGAAAAATACTTGACAATGATGTAAAACAGTTAGGGTAAACAAATGACGAAAATTCCAAATCAGTAAGAATGGTTATGAAAACGAGCTACACAATTGAAGCATATCAGCTTCAATTCTTGTCTGTTCAGCTCAAAGGGGAAAATGTGATCAATTAATTTGTGTGGAGCAGGTTATAAAGGTAAGAGACTGATACATTACCCTTGCCCCTCCAAGAATCATTGTAGATACACAAAAGATAACATGGACAATTGCCAACACAAAGATGAAAATATGCAGTTGGTGCAATGCTTCCACAGACACCAATGGAACCTTCCCCTGTGTTTGGAAAAGGCATGTGCAAAATGTTAGTTTATAAGATTTAATGTGAGCACAGCTAGATATATTAATTCATGTAAGGATTTTCGCTATTCTATATCCACTTTATCTGTATCAACCTTTTATGCCTCTGCTAAACTACTTAACAAATCAAAAACTCAACTTTTCAAGACCAATCCTCCTTCCAATCATCAAAACAAGACCTTCGAGCCATCCCATGAAGAAAAATATTCTTCCAAAATAACCATGGCCCCTTCTTGGACCTGCTTTACTAGCATGCTTAGACTAATCGTCATGTGGATCCATCTAGGCACATTGTGGAGCCATTAGCTTAGATTATCTCATATTCATGTATAAATACTAATGCATGGGATGGCCAGTATGTGGTTTTCTAGTTAAATTTATCTTCTCCTCTGCCTAAATAACAACTTAATTTAACTGCAAAATAATCAAATTTACATGGACTAGTTGGTAAAAAGTTATGTTTACAGCAGTAAACATAGTGACATACCTCACGAGCACAACGTTCTGCACTATTAGTTGCAGATAGTAGATGACGTCGATTGTTTAAAGCTTGATTATAGATTTTTTCGTGGTTGCTGCTCTCAGTTTCTCTCTTGCATGGCAACATGGTAATAGCAAGATGAGGTGGGATGCATATGCGGCTTATTGTATTTTGGGTAACTGTTAGCAGAAGGGAAATGAACCCTAAAAGCATCAATTCTGTAGGAAAACATCAGGATAACTTCCATTAGACCCAAAAGATAAAAAAAAAAAACCTGTCAATATGCTTTACTTTTAAGACTCCTATTGTGGCTTCTCAGACTTCATGAGAAATTGTTTTGAGAAGTATTCTTTGGAACACACATTGAGAACATATTTAGATCATATTTTAGCATTATACTGCAACATGCAATTAGTGAAACGATTGTTTCCAATCCATTGTAACCTTGCACTTTATGTATAATTTCTGGACATATTTATAAATGCAAACTTGCCAGCATTAGTCACATGTTGTGGATTATGGAGAATTCGTCATTAGATATAATATACATCTTGTATAGGAAATAAAGATTGGGGAGAAAGGATCGTCTGACCTTCTTTTAATTTTTGCAAGGCTTCAAACAATGCATCTTGCTTCGTATTCCTCAAGAACTGAATTTCCAAACAAAAAAAATCACCAAGTCCCTTAGGAAGTTAGGAATTAATGGATTGTGCACCATAAACCTCTTACAAATGAAGAAACATCACCTCTCTGCTTAGAAGCTCTTCCTTTTTACTTCAAAATTCAATTGATGCAAAAACAACTTTTATGTATATATATATAAAAGCTGATAAATTTTCTTGGAAAGGAAGAAGAGATACAGGTTCATAAATAGTAACCTTTTTAATTTAATGAGCAGTGTACGATTATAGCACACACTAGTATTGCAATCAGCAACATTTCGTACATTCATTTCTACATGCTGTGGCAGTGCATAACTCCAAATTTATCTTCACTTCAGTTTGAATTTTGGTCCAAATAAGATGTGTTCAAAAGAACAATTTTAGTAGTGACACTGAGGATGTTCAATTTGGGAACCGGGAACCAAAAAATTTAAATATTGAAGGAAGAAGAATCAAACTAGAATATCACCTAGCTCAAGTGTAAAAGATACCATAGGGAATATATAGCATACCTTTCCCAGTTTGTGAAGACCTCGCTCTGCAAAAATGGAGGCGAGAACAATGACAAAACAGACAGCAGCAATCACCCATGTAGGTGTGTATTGCAAAGATTTGGATTCTTCCGCCATAGTACCCTGTGAATGTGATTTTTGAGTGTCTGGTAGAAGAATTTGAAAGCCACCTGAAATATATATAGACCGTAAGAATGCCAAAGAATAAGCACATTTCGAAGATAAGCGGAAAGAATATGATAGAACTGACACCACCATATAAGTAAGGCATATAATTTACAAACACTGGAAAAGCATTGGTCAGTATCGCAGGACTTCTAAAGGAATCCCTTGAAGCCGACCTCATACGTTTCCTCACGTGAATGAGGTTCCAGTTTTACTGTGAGCACACTTCAAACTGGTGGTCATGGCCTTCTTTACTCGATAGTTGATATATGCCAAGGAACTACTGATTACCCTATTTTTAGTAGAAGCTACATGCAGCAGTTGCTGCCACATCATCAACTGGAATAGTCTTATTCCAAGCATAAATTTGGTTGCAAACAGAGGGCGGATAAGATGATTTGATAGGGCAGATGTGCAATCAACACCTCCGAAGTTACTTGTGAAATACTTGCGTTGTATGTTCCAACCGAAATATGCACAAAATGTACAAAACATGCATGGAAAAGAATCAAGATAGGAGGGATAGAGATCCAGTAATGAGACGAGATCTGTTACAGCTTTAAATGGAATTTATTGTTAATCAGTTTTGAAATGTTGAATTCACGTTTTTCCCCCAAAAAAGAATACAACGTTTCATATCATACACATATACTATTTATATCAAAAACTACGACAGGCATCTTGGGGTACAGAATATCAATTTCTTAATGATTGTCCAAGTTCTCAACCACGTATGCCCTCGTCATCTTCACAAACTTATGCTCAGCAGTCCTTAAAGCCATCCTCCTTCCGTGGAGTCGAATTATCTTTACCTTCCAAGGAGTTCCGAGTCCAAAATCTATTGCAGCAAAATCATCTAACCAAAAGCCCCACAGATATATTCTAAAAAATTGTGGCATCTCATGGTCTCCAAGGTGCTGGAGGTGGTGGCGGAGTAGGAAACATTGGGGGAACTGCAGAGAATATGGTGTTCTTGTCAATCCCGGTAGTTTTGTCACCTGACGAAGCCACTAGTGCTGCAACTAATCCAGCATTTCCAGCAATCGTTGGCTCTGTATAATTGTAGTTGGTGCGAACATCACGGAAACCATCATGCCTGTCAGGACCAGCAACCATGGCTCCAACAAGTGAATTTGGATTTGGCTTCGTGGTGTCCCTCCATTTCCATCCTCCTTTACAGTTATACCTGACCTTGTTCTTAGGGATAGATGCACCTCTATGGTGGAGATGTTTTGGGTAATGATTGCCAAAACCCACAATATAGCTCATTTTACGAGGATTTTTGCCCAGGATGTAGTCAATCTGTCACAAAGACAGAAAAAAGGAAGTTATAAACCACTCAAATTATGCCAGGGTCCAATATAGAACACCTTATCACATAGGGTATGGCATACCTGAGTCTTGGCAAAATCACGCAACACGTCAGTAGAGTAAAAATTTGGTCCACAGTACCATCCAGGTGTATCAGCAGCCTCAAGATAATCACTATATAGGGTTGCTAGGAAGGCAGCGTTGACAACATACTGAAGGGGCTGAGGCCTTCCATGATTTAACTCGATCAAGCCTCCTGTAGAACATCACCAAAACAGTTAGAATGGGATCTGAAAGTTAATCCATTCACTTGTGACCAGGCCAATCATATAGGAGATGGTTTACCTCTTGTTCTATTAAACTTCGTGAAAATTGGCAGGTACGAGCACATAATTATACTGGTCTGGTTGTGAAATGTCCTTAGTATTTCTTCATACGGATAACCAGGGCTCAAGAACAATCTTAAACGGCTCAAAAGTAGCTATCACACAACAAAATTTATTCATCAGGACAGAAGTATACCACCATATATTTTCAAAGTAAACTAACAGTGAATTAGGCACATTATGATGTAATATGTAAAAATAGCAGCAGAAAAATATCAGCAGGATCCAAATAGGAGATCATCATTGACATTTTCACATTAGGGCAATGATTTTATGTCAACAGCAGTTCATCAGGTTTCATGACATAATAGTCAAGAAAGTAGAAATGGGTACAAATAAGAAAAGGCAGGAGATAAATTAACAAATTGAGATTCACTTTTAAAAAATTAACAAATTTTTAAAAAAGGGAGGAACTACCACGTACACATACCAGGTCAAATTTTGTTGAATATGGAAACCTCAGAACGAGATCACTTTATTTGTAGCAAGACAAGCAATTAGAGGAACCCACAATTCTTACTCATCAAGAATGAAATAAAAACCCATACACATGCACAGCTACCTTATATTTCTGTTGCTGAGGAAAATAGATATATCAACTCCTAAAGATGCTTATCATTTGGGTATATTATATGAAACAACATGTGATATCTTATTAAATTAGAAACATGAACAGATGCATGGAAAAATTAATAACATTCGGAAGAAAAGTTAATTGCATGATTAGGAAAGGCATGGTAGAAAATAGATAAGAAGCTTCACTAACCTGAGTACCAGCAAGCTTGTTGTCCCAGCTAAGGACACCATAGTCCGGCCCTCCCCAAAAAGCACCAGCATGCTTGGCTATGCCAGGATTTGTAGCAAGCTGAAGATAGGAACTATTTCCAGTTGCATAGTACAGCCAAGCTCCACCCCAAACAAATTCATCCCAGTAACTAGTTGAATTATAGAAAATGGCAGCTTCTGACCCTCTTTCACTGTATCTACCTCGCTGATCTCTTGCAAATTGAAAGAGAGTTCTGGCACCATGAACAAGTTTCTGAGAGTAGGCCTTGTTATCTTTGAAAACAATGGATGCAGAAGCTAAGGCAGCAGCCATTTCAGCAGCAAGATCAGAGCAATGGCTGCATTCAGTTACAAGTCTTTCATAATCAATGTCCTCAGGACGCATCCAGCAATAATGATCATTTGGAGTGGTACTCCCACCAGAAGTATCCCCCGTGCCAACCTGTCAAATAGGATGGAAATCAACATCTGTCAGACCATATATCCTATGAAGGATCAACAGACAAAGATAAAAATAATAATTTGATGAATAGCGCACTTCTTTGAATCATGTTTATGTGATGATGGCCAATACAATAGTAGCTATAAACATTCTCGACTTCAGTATTTGTGCATCCAGGAAATTTTCTATGCATAGGCGGAAGTTGAGTTTTCCATGGAGAAATTGTCAGATGAAAAAAACTTGCTAGTTTTGATCCCAGTAAGTCAAAAATTTGAAAAAAGCCCTACCCTTGCATTTTCACATGAAGTGCCCCAAGCAAGATCATGTTTTCATTGTAAAACAAAGCATCATCAACATTAAAGGTAAAGACAGCTATGAAATAAATTCATCCAGATGTACAATTATATCTATGTTTAGATAAATTGTGTGAAGTTACTTCACCTGTGCAACCATCGTGTTGATGGTATCAGAAGAACTGTTAAATGTCTTAAGAAAGTAATCGGCTCCCCACTTAATAATTTCTTTGACATGGTCAAGCTCCCCAGCAGCTTCATATTTCGCACTATATTCTATAACACTCCAGCTCAACATTGTCATCGCAAAAGAAGCAGGGAAGTGAAACTTGATGGCATCCCCAGCATCATAATATCCACCCACCAGATCTTTGTAAAAACTACCTTGTTTACCTTTCCCATCGCTCAAACACGAGCTTCCCCTCCATGACACATTATTATGCTTTGGAAGCTTTCCTGCTGCAATTTGCCATCAAAATACACGAACATAAACAAAATCAAGATCATTATCAATAACAGTAGCAACAGTAACTGAAACTTATGATCTGAATCCGTGCAAATCAATGATTTTCTTCAACAATCCATGATACCAAAGTTAAGCCACATTCAAACTGGTTTTTTTTTTCTGCCAAAAAGAAAGGAAGAAAGAACGATTTCTACTTTCCTGAATATAGATGATTACCAATAACAGAGCAGTAGTAAAATAAAATAAATTCATGATCTGGGTTTGTTAAGATTGATGATTCATGTTCCCCTAAACAGTTACAATCCCGGATTCATTGAACAAGTCTCTCCTCATTCTTGCAACAAAATGATGCTATCTTCCAATTTAACAAACAAATGAATTCAAAAGGTACACAAACATCAACTAACAGAAATCGGAACAGATAAGATCAAGAAAAGGAAAAGATACATTTTTGCGCATTGAAAAACATGAGTGCCTTGTGTAGAGCAAGGGTGTAGTTATCAGCGGGGGTATGATTGTGACGATGGCGAGGCACAGCTTCAACAATAACAGTGATCAAACCACCCAGGAGAGCAGCAGCAACAATACTGCCAACAGTCCACACAAAGATCTTGCGACTAACAATGATACAACCCAGATCCACATATTTCTTCTTCTTTTGCTCAGCTGGACCCAGTAACCAACTCTGTTGAGTCTCATCCAACGGCCTTGACAAAGATGCCCTGTCTAAGTCATTCAAGTTCCTGCTCCTATCATCATCTGTTGCTGAATCTGCTGCATTTATCTCCAGGGATCCTCCCCAAGGATCTCTACCATACATGCTCATCCTTAAAGTTTCACTATTTCTTCTTGTATTTAGCAAATTAGCTCTCTTTTGATTCTCCCTCGATTCAAGAACAAAACTTGAAGTGCCACCGACCCTGTACTGACAAAAAGAAAATGTGGGTTGTCTTTGTCTCTCTCACACACACACTCTCTTTGTTGGGTGTGAGGAGGAGAGATGGAGGGGAGTGAAGGTGTGGGAATGGGGATGGAGGGTATTATGGATGGTGAACAGCGGAGACTGATGACGGTGGAAGAGTCAATAATGCTGTGGTGAATTGGGCTTGATTCTATATTCTAATAATTAATTTGTAGTAAATCTAGTAGGTGACCAATAATCCACTCCTAGGCAAAGACAGTCCGTGTAATGCTGTGTTTTTCTATGAAGTTTTTCTAACAGCTAAAATCTGCAATGTGTTTCTTTCTCACTCTTGAAGACAGCGGACAGACAGGTACAGAAAGAAAGCAAGAAAGGTAACAGTTTGGTAATTGTATGGTATCTTGCTATGCAAAAATTCATGTTAATGCCTGAAAGAAGCCATTAAGCTCATCTTTTTAGCCTTTTTTAACGCGACCACATCATTTTGTATTTCTATTAAAGGAACAATTAAAAATCAATTAAGGAAGATTTATTTCCATATCATACTAATCTCTATAAAAACCCAGTTAAAAATTACGATGATAATTTCCTCATACATGGATCTGAAGAAACTCCTCGTATTCGTAGTTTCATTATTAATATTATCGACATATATCATCCCGTTATACGACATATGTTGAGAGGAGAAGGGTTGTCTCCAAAAAAAACCAATCCAAGAAAATTGCTATCCCACCGCATCTTCTCTTCTTATTAAAAATTCTTCCATTTTCATTCTTTATCTCACCTTTATGCACATGATCTTCTCAACAGATCATTTTTTATATATATAGGTATATAAATCGATGCGTAGGATTTAAAATTTGAAGTTAATTTTTTCTCGAGGAATTTGTGAAGAGTATCAGTACAACACAAGATCATGCGTGCCTGAAAATAATATAACAATAGATAAAATATTTGAGGAGGAGGAACATGAATGACCGGTGTTTTTTCTTTTATTCTCAAACTTTTTTTTTTAATTTCATCTTTAAAAAAAAAATGCATCTGAATTTTTATGGTTTGTTATGAAAAAATACAATTAAAAGATATCGGATTAGAGTGTAAAAGGTGATAAATTAACATAACCAATCTAAAATTAGCACACCAAAGTTCTTTTTTATCCCCATATTTCCACTTTTCTTTTGTTATGATCCTTTTTGTTTTTGGAAGCTTTATTTTGATTCACAACTTTATTTTTTTATTTTTTTATTTTTAGTTTAGAGAAAAAAAAAGAAATTTATCATAATCCAACAATAAAAAAAAAGTTATCTTTATCACCAATTTTGTTCATGAAAAAAATTAATTTTGATATCAATAAACTTCATAAACAAATTTTATAGAGGATTCTTTAACGTTTATCTTGTCTAAGAGAGTGAATATAGACTCCAAAAGGTTTTTAAATTTAAGTTGATTTTTTATTTTGAGAATGATTTTATTCAGGTTTAATACCATAAATAAGTTTTTTAAGGCCTTTAGAGTTTTTTTATTTTAGATGTTTTCCCGTAAAATAACTATTAAAAATTTGGGTTTTTATATCCAAAAAATTGGACTATAATTTTTCAATCATCATAATGATTGTTAGAATATAATGTCATGGATGACTTGTTGTCTATTACATCAAATGACATGTTATATGGCATAACAAATAATGCGTTGTTTGTTTTTATAAGAGAAAAAGATAGAATACATGTCATCTGTTTCTTAACAGAAAAAACAAGACATGTTGTTTGCTGCAGCAGACAAAGCATCATTTGTTTTTTATGAAAAAAAACAAACAATATATCATTTGTTTATGTGTAGGGAAAAAAAACCATGGATCCTAAAAGATAAGATTATTAAATTCGGATCTATCCAAAATATCATCGATCCAATATTTTTTAAAAGAAAATGTTGGATCAATGTATCTTTATTTTTCTTTAAAAAAAATACTAGGTTTTGACCTGATCAACTAAATCATTTAGGACATGCCTTTAAATATAAGTCCTCATGGAATGTCGCATGTTAATATATATGTGTGTGTGGGGAGCATTACTACAATATTTTTTTATGGTTTTTTTTGTTTTTTTAGTTTTTTTTTAAATTATATTTGTTGATTTTATTTTTAAAATATTAAAATGGTTAAAAATTTAGCTTTGCATTTTTTTTGTTATAATTTTTTTTAAAAAATTGTTTGTCAATCTTATTTTTTTAATATTAAGCTGATTAAAAATTACAGCTATGGCTTTTCTTTCAAAACACTATGGATTATTACAGTATTTTCTCACATGGTTTTTTATGATTTTTTTCAAAATTATATTTGTTAATTATATTTTTTTAATATTGAGCTAGTTGAATTTAACCTTGTAATTTTTTTAAAACATGATGGATTGGTATAATATTTCTCCACATGGCTTTTTTTTGTGTTTCTTATAATTTTTTTAAATTATCTCTATTAATTTTATTTTTTAATATTAAGCTAGTTAAGAATTTAGCTTTATAATATTTTTAAAAAAAAATATTGTGGATTGCTATAGTGTTTACTCACTTGGTTTTTTTATTCTTTTTTTATAATTTTTTAAAATTATCTTTATATAATAAAACTAAATCATGTGAAAAAAAACACTATAGCTTTCCTTATAAAATATTGTGGTTTATTATAATATTTTTCTATATGGTATTTTTTTTGTTATAATTTTTTTAAAATTATTTTTTTAAATTTTACTGGAAAAAAGAGTGTAGCTTTCTTCACAAAACACTGTGGATTGTTACAATGTTTTTTCTCATTGGTTTTTTTTAAATTATCTTTGTTAATTTTATTTTTTTAATATTGAGGTAGTAAAGAATTTAGTCTTGTAATTTTTTTCTTTTTATTAACAATAAAGTTAAATTATATAACAAAAACTAAATCATGTGGGGAAAACTTATAAAACACTATAAATTATTACAAATCATTCTATTCAATCTCTAAATTTTTTATCACCAACATATTTTTTTTGTTTTAAAATATTAACTACATCTCATCTTTAGTTTCTATTATTTATTTAACACTAAATTTTAATTATAATATTATTAAATATATTTATTTTGTAACCCATAATAAGATACGGCCATATCACCTGATGTATGTGTGTAACAACAACCACGTATAATATTTTTCCCAATCAAACCTTGTTTTCTAAGTTGGTTAAAAAAAAAATAGCCTGACATTAATATTGATATTTTTTAGAGTAGTCAAGATGTAAATTTTAAATTTTCAAATCACAATAAAAAATAAAAATACTCTGCGATAAATGACGTTGACAAATGACAATGGTGATGCCTTTTGTATTTTTTTTTGTATTTTTTTTTTCGTCTTACCGCGGCAGCATAGAGGTAAGTAAGAACTAGCAATACACATGCATAACACAGAGAGATGACAATCATGTACGTAAAGTACAAGAATTTAAGTTAAACTATAATTTATTATTGACAATTAAGATTGAGCATTAAGGATTTGAGATTAATAACAACATCTTCATTTTGTTCTTGCGAGTGCCAATTTTAGATGGGGGCATCCGCTTCAATCCAACCAGCAGTTATTAGTCTCCTCGTTTCTCTTTCAAGTTCCAACCGAAACGTTTGCCGACGCTTCAAGACATGCTTTCCACCTTCTTCATGCTTCTTTACTCCTTTTTTCTTCTTCCTCATTCTCCCTCTCCCTCTCCCTCTCCCTCTCTCTACAAACACACACGTTGCTTAGCTTGTATACAAAGTGTATGCATTACTGATTTAGACTATGCGTGCATAAAAACAATGAAGAATGAATGCCTCATATCAGCTGCTGATCTCTCATCCCGTGACATGAAAACTGGACAAGCTTGCTTTCATTTCATTTACTCGCTAACATTCTTAAGTTATTGTGGTTTTGTTAGGTGTCTCTCATATCTCATCCTTTCCATCTCCAGTCTCTTGACTCTTCAATTAAGCATCAAAAAGAACGTTTAGGCAGATTGGTACACACCATTGCACTGTTCTTTCAGAACAAAGAAACAGAAATACCATCCACCGACGAAGGAACTATTCTGGCACCGAGAGGAGCATGGTATGCTCATGCTGCTGAGTGTTCAAACATAAATGTACTTCCTTTTTATATAGTTAAATAGACTAAAATCTGTCAGCTACTGCTTGTATAATATCCACGAATTATTATACTACAGTTGTACCTCAATCTCTTGCGTCATCAATCATATTAACTTTATTCCCTTGGTAAAACTGAAACGCACACACACAAACACAGTGAAACAAATAAAAACAGAAATTAATCACATATATCTGCTATGCACTTTCCCTCGACCATATCCATATGACCAATCTCAGCTGTTGTTAACTACATGCAGTTCTTATACATATTTGATTCCAACATCCATAAGATATAATAGGGTGCTATTCTTACAGGTTTCGTGAGCATTACTGGGAATTTGAAGCGTGAATGATGCGTGCTCTACTTTCATTGCATTTCTAAAGAAGCTACTGCAGGTGAACGCCACCTCATTCCAGCTGCATATTATATCCTCTAGGCTCCATTATATACACATATACTCCTAGACATTTTTTCTGGACACGGCATCTACAAATCAAAAGTATGACTGTGGAAATGGAAGACTGGATGGTGGGATTCTCTCTTTAAATTCCGAGACCTGATTTCTCTAGCAACACTGGACTCAAGAGTTGGAGGACCGCATATGATGACACCCACATCTGCATAACCCCAGTGCTCCGATATGGATCCGAATATTTCTACAATTAGGAAAAAGCAAATAGATTAAAAGAAGCAGCAATTTGTTCAGTTTAAATGAAGATGACTTATTTAATACTTTTGCAGTATAAACTAGGTACAAACTATGTACCACCGTAAATGCTATTCACTCCTAGTATAACGTTGTGATCTGTCAGCTGATTTGGAAATGATTTTGAATAACTGAATATAAAAAAAGCTTAAAGTCTGTTATGATAATTTCATACTTATATTCACAAAAGATGCAAATCACACCCATCAAATGTATGTCATCAAATCTTCCCTATTGAGTAACATATGCCAGACAAAATCTAGCGTTGCATGGAATCATACCTTTGAAGCCTGGTCTTGAACCATACTGAATAGTGGTTATACTTGTATGGTTTTTCTGAAACAAATTTGCCACATCTTCATTATGCTGAACCATGCCAGGCTTTAGCCTATTTTCCTCGCATTCTTCCATGGCAGAAAGTTTCTTTTCCCAAAGATGCCATAAACCAACAACAAGACCCCCAAAGATAACAACACTTGCAAGCATACATCCGAAAAAAAGGAGTCCTTTGTACCACCAAGTTGATATGCTCCTAGGATTTATGTAAAACACATACAAGATACCCAGTGATATAACAAA